GTCCCCCCTCTCTCTCTCTCTCTCTCTCTCTCTCTCTCTCTCTCTCTCTCTCTCGCTCGCTCGCGCGCTCTCGCTCTCTCTCTCTCTCTCGCTCTCTCTCGTGCTCTCTCTCGCTCTTGCGCTCTCTCTCTCTCACACACACACACACACACACACACACACTACCTCCTCTCCTAGGTTCACGAAACGGTCGTCCATAAAATGCATTGCTGTTCTGTTGTAAGTAATCTTAAAAATTCCTAAATGCATCTACTTTAGGAAGGCCAAATAAAGTGCTTTTGCTTTCGCCTAGAAACACACGTCTCCCTGACATGGCTGCTTCAACACTAACTGCGGTTACTGAAACCACGCCTTCTTTCTTTGCGTGAACATTTGGGCGGCATTATGCTAATATTTCCACATAGTGAGGTAGATATGTGGGGGCGTGTTAGAACGAGCCGTTTTAGGGGGGTGTGGCAGAGTCTTAACTTTGATAAAGAATATCTCTTTGGTTTTGAGACTTTAGTCTTTGCAACTTCAGGGATCTTATCTATGCACAATCAGCTTGTAACACTCCAAAGAGAAAGGAACACTTGAAATCGCATCATATGACCCCTTTAAACAGAACACAAAGCCTTTAGATTCAGCATATAGTATTGTGAATTAATAATTTGCTCGATTAATTTAAAATGGAAATGGGTTTGATGACTGACGTGCATCTTCTGAATGCAGTGCCGCTAAAGTGTGGTAATATAAAAAGTTAATTATACTGATTTTTGGATTAAATGTTATTTAGTCCGCTTTGCATTTCCCAGCGTAGACATACATCGGCTGTTTGGCTGAGCCGCAGAGACATTTGTTGTCGATAAAATACTCATTTAAAATATATGTGTGGTCGTTTTTTTTTATACAAATTTGCGTCCGTGTGCAAACGTAAGCAGTTTGAGGTTTATAACAGTTTCAAAGTCTGTAACAGTCTGGAACGCTGATCCGTTTAAGTCCGTAATGATTAATTGCTCTCGAGCGTCTTTCTGAGATGAAGCTTTTCATTGCTATGACACCCACATTAACGGCAGTTGTCGTCCGCACGCTGCCAGACTCTTTGGCAGGACTTTACACCAGACTGGGTGTTAGCTGAGCCTTAACTGAGAATTTCCATGGTAATGCTATGGAAACGGCTCCATCCATGCTGTTGTTTACAACAACAGAACAGGACAGTGATGAATAACGAGAAGGAAAATGTTATTTCAGAAATAAGTACTTTACAGTAAACCCAGCTTTCACTTTATAATGCTGTGTCTTTGAGATGTTGTTGAGTCAATTTTTGTCCTTTAAGCCCGTTAATGGCTGATGTTGTTCTCAGATACTTTTCAGATTTGCAAGGAGAGTTTCTAACCTTCACTTTTAGGCAGATGTTGAGTGCTGCAGTCATGTCGCGCTGGAATTACCGTAATTACCAGATGACAACTTTGAGCTGTTCACATCCTTGGACTCAGAAATTATTAATTTCTGTGGGAACGCTCATTGTTGAGTGCGGAAAGATGCCTCATGGTGACATTAAAACACCTCTTTAAGCTCTTGATAAATAGCAAAAACTAAAAAGCACTTGATAACTTTATGTATAATAAAATGGCATATTAAACATATTTTGAGTTTTAGTTTTTTCTGCTCACTGAAGCTGTACTTATTTGATCAAAAACAGTTTAAACAAAAATTGTGAAATATTACGTTTTTAAAATAACTGCTTTTTGTTTTCATAATTAAATATATTCTTACCAGGTCTTAAGTGTCACATGATCCTTCAGAAATGCTGATTTGATGTTAAGAAACATTTCTTATTATTATCAATGTTGAACATGTGCTGCTTAATATTTTTGGGGAAACTAAAATGTCTTTAAATCAAGTATCTATCATCTTTTTTTGTTTGTTTGTTTGATGTAATGTTTAGTGATCAAATATTTTTGGATATATTTTCACTTGAGATGCACTGCTCGAACACAAACATGTAAATACGAATGTGTGAATATTAAAGTGTATATCCGCAGGATAGCAAGACCTTTAAATGAGGATAATGGTTCTTTGTGACCACAGGCTGCAATGAATAATATCAACTTATCCAGAGCAGTTCAGCAGGGTAATGTGGTATGGACCATATTAGCATAACGAAAGAGAGAGAGAGGAAGATTAAATGAGACAGAGAGGAAGAAAGAGTTAGAAAGGGAGTGTATGTGCATCTAGGATTATTTAGAGGCCTTTCCAGACAGAAAGCACAATCAGCATCCTCATGGTTTCTCAGCTGTCTGCAGTAGATCACCCTGTTAGCATGCAGCTGTCTCTGAGCGAGAGAACCCACACTGTTTAAACAGCAGACAGCCCTCTGATTTCAACTCAAATCAGAGGTTAACCAGGCTGTTATTACAAAATTATATCCTCACCAAAAAAAGAGAGACGAGCAAGAGAGAGAAGATGAATACTGTGTGCACATATACTTGTGTGCACTGCAAGAAAAAAAAATCAACTATTATTTTTGTTTTGTTTTCTGAAGAAAGATCTAAACATTTAGACAAGCAAGAAGTACTTGAAGTAAAACTCTTTTAATTACTCATTTTAATTATTTAATGTTAATTTACAAGTACAATGTTACATTATTAACCTATCACAATAGACAAAATAAACTTGCTTCGTATACGCTTAGTCACTCATCTATGTATTTTTGTTACATTAATGCTTTTTATGTTTTAAGGTTGCACTTTTGGAACATTTTATTAGTTTATTTATTTGATTATTTATTTAACAATTATAATTCTAAGTTATTATTTTTTATTATTATCAATTTATCAGAATTTTTATGAATCATGATAACAAATATTTTTACTCTATTAATACCTCTCTTTCTTCTTTCTTTCTCTTTCTCATTTTCCTCTCAGACACCTTTGCCAGTAAAGTGGCAGCGATACAGGATCAGTACGCCGACGCGTCCATTGGAAACGTGACGGGCAGCAACGCCGTGAACGTCTTCTTGGGCATCGGAGTGGCCTGGTCCATCGCCGCCATCTACCACAACTCAAAGGGCCACGAGTTCAGGGTGGAGCCGGGTAACCTGGCCTTCTCTGTCACCCTCTTCACCATTTTCGCCTTTATCTGCGTGGCGGTGCTCATGTACCGCCGCCGGCCCGATATCGGCGGCGAGCTGGGGGGTTCGCGGACTGCTAAAGGGCTGACCACCATGCTTTTCGTCAGCCTCTGGCTGCTCTACATCCTGTTCTCCTCTCTGGAGGCTTACTGCCACATCAAGGGCTTCTAAACACACGTACACGCGCTCACACGCATACACACGCAGAACTACACACCTTCACACAGTGACACACACAATCATGCATTCTGTGGAAAAATACGCAAAGACTAAAGGGTAAAGACTAAAGACTGCAGAGGAAGGCAACAGCGGCGGACTCGGTTTCGGGTTCACGAGAATAATCATTTTCCGCAGATCCTCGGCCCGTTCTTCTGTTCTCTCAACACGCCATTCCTTCATCCTCATCTTCCTCTGTTTGTTGTGTGACTGCATCTGATTGGACGGGGTGTGACCACATTGTTCAAGCATCAAATCTAGACTATAAAAGCTACTATTGCTACCGTTAACTACTGTAGTTGTGCTTTTTTAACCTAAACCAGTATAAAAGCCCCGTGGGACCGTGGAATCTGTAAGCTCCCTTCATAGTGCCATGGAACTCTGGGTAATGTGGCTGTGTGTTATAGGTTTGTTATCTTAACGGGGACCGAGCGGTACTGTAATTTTGCTTGGGTGATTTTTCAGACAGATGATGTAAACGGAGTGGTCCTAAACAGCTTTTGTTGTTCTCAAGAGCAACTTGTAGTTCCTGTGAAGGCCAGTTTTTATCCCGCTCTTGCACTGGTGCAGTTCATTCCAGTTCAGAAAGAGAATAACAATAAGGAGAGTGCAGTACGCCAGCTCTATTCTCTGCCGGCGCTGAAGCTCTAGAGACCAGAGGTGCACTAGTGCAAGACTTTGATTTAAAAGCCTTGATCTGACGGTCTCAAAGATCGTAAAGTGCTATCGAAAGAGCTCGGGTTAAGGAACATCCTGAATTTTCTAATACAAACACACTGCGGTTTGTTACTGATTCGATTATTAATTTATGCAATCGATGGACTGTGTGTGAGGTCAGCCTAGTAAAGATAATCCAGCATGTGACATGCTTTTGCCAAGATCACATCGAGAGTTTACAATTACGACTGTTACTTTCCGTCCTAGCATACATGCATAAATTTACGTACACACACTACGAGAAATACGCAAAACCAGTGACCATACTTTCAGCGATTTGTTCTCAGACACACAATTTGCAAGCATGTATAATCGGTAGTCTTTTGCTTGATAAACTAGCTCATACAGATACAGTCAGTCACTCATCTATGTGGAGTTTACGAGGGCACGCTTTCCCTCCAACCCTGCTGAGATTGCTTCTTTGTACTTTGTAGATTCGCGGCATACGGAGCTGTAAGGTAAATCTCATAGAGTAGTCACGGTTTTAGACGTAGGTCGATTTTAAAAGCAGACATTGTAGAACTAATCTGAATTTGACTCTAAACATCTTTAGGATAGCATGGTTTAACACAAACGAACTGAAAAAAAAAATGTAGCTCGGTTTTAAATTTTGAAAATGCAATTGCAGGATTTTTCACTCTCCTTTCCAAAGTTCGATTTTCAGTCTTAGTGGGTAAGTAAATATATGAAATCGTGTTTCTGGACTGAGCACAGTAGATCTGATGTAGATATTTTGGACTTCATCTATTGTGTAGTTTGCGCCAAATTTGCCAAAGGTAAAATCTTTCTAATGGAGAACTGCAGTGTGCCACACAGCCCCTGAAGTGGGTTTTGTATTTCCAATCGTACCTTTTTTACCCACACCAAAAATGTCCTTGCAAGGATAAAGAGGCCTTGGTGACATTTCTTATAGGTGTTTGTACTGAAGGGATCCAGCCTACAGCTCTTTTACTGCATCTGAACACCTTTTCTTGTAACGAAAGAGTGTTTTTAAAGGGAATCTGTGTTGGGGTTTGTGGTTTCAGAAGCTTGATTTTGAAAGAGAAGAAAAATTTAGCTTGAATAGCTGTTTATTCTTTCTTTTTTTGTTGTGTTTGTTTTATTTTGTTTTACATTTTGAATGAAAGGAAACTATACTGTACCAGCTTCAGGGCATTTCTGTAGGAAGCCTTTGATGATGACCTTCAATCCCTGATGAAGATGGTCCGCTGTTGCTTGCCAATTCTAAGATCCACAAGAAAGACACTACAAACAAAGAAGGACAAAACCAACATCAATAAAAGACTTTTCCCTGAAGCCTAATATCTATTTAACCAATAAACAAACAGATGAAGTTGGAGTGAAGTTGGTGAAACCATGTGAATTACAGCCATACCAAGTTCTGCCGAGAAGACTTTCATGGACTCTTGCTGTACGTGCTGCTCGCTAGCCGTCACACCAACCGACCACAGGTGCGCCTCTCCGTACGGGGCGTTCAAACTGTACATGGTCTCTACGGTTTATACTGTATATGTATTTGCTTTGGCAGAGCAGGGGTCAGCAATTGTGCGTCTGTGCTCTAAATCAGGGTGTGGCTGCATTGGAACCGCCCCCCTGTGGAACCTAACCCCTCCCTTTACCCCGCCCCCTTGTTTGCCATGTCCATATTTGGAATGTTAATGTGCTTCGTGTTGACAATGCATGGATGCTAACCTGTCTGTATATAGTACGCAGAATCCCCTTCATTAATGTAGTCAACAGAGGTTTGAAAGCTGTATAGACATTCAGATTTTTGTTTTGTTTGCTTGTTCGATTGATTTTCCTGTCCGTAAGTTTCATTTAAATGTTTCGTTTTGTTTTTTTGTTTTTTAACTTGCACATGTATATTAAAAAGGCAGTATCTGTCGTTTAGTACAGGAGCACATGTACAAACGAAGGAAGCAATATATCAAGGTCCTTTGCTTGGTTGTTGCAATGGTTATATTATTTAACAGTATGAAATATTTTGTCACTGAAGCGTTCAGGTGTGTATGTATATACTGTACAGTAGAATGAAGGCAGAGTCACCGCTCTGCCGTTATCAAAGAGAGAATACAACGTATTTATTTGAAACTTCAGAATGACAAATATTGCCTTTTGGATTGATTGTTGCATAGAGCTTGTTTTGTTCTAGTTTCTTCGCTGAGCAGTGTGTGTGCGAGTGTGTGTTTGTTTGGGTGGTCTGGAGCAGTCTGTGATATTTGTAAGAATTAAGGGAACATGTAGTCCGTTATTTATCTGCTCCGAGTCTGTAAACCATCTTGCAAAAATCAGTGAACCATCTGGAAAATGTCTGTAAAACATTAGGAGAATGTGTGTGAAGTGTCAGGGTTTGCCTTGTGTATGTCTTACATTCCTAAACCCCCTCTCTCTTATTCACTGCTCAGATGGACTCTAGTCTTTCAGGGGTTTAATACTAATCTTTGATCATATTATTTCCTCCTCCTCCCCCCTCTCTATATCACTCTCTTTCTCTCTCTCCAATCCAAGGCCTCACTAACATCTTGCATTGATGTGTCCAGTGAAATTATGTAGGCTGTGTGTTGTAAACAATCGCAGTGTATATGTGTAACGATGTTCCTGGTAATCCTGAACAGTGCGTATATGTGTGTAAATGTCTACATATCACTTATTTATAATGTAAAAATTTATAGCATGTATAAAGGTTTGCAAAACCACTTAAACTGCAGAGAATATTGTTCTTAACTAGTCATTTTGTCTTTTTTTCCGATAAGAAATATCTAAAAATCTAAAACAAACAATTATTTTTTGTTGTTGTTTCAAGCATAAATCTAATACAGTTTAATGAGGTTTATGCTTAAAAACAAGAGGGTAAAAATTAAATGTTAAAAAGAGAATATTTATACAGGAAAACAAGACAAAATGCTGTGTTTTGCAGTGTAAACAACATGGCAGAAAGCTCTCATGCCAAAGCAGGATTGAATGTATTGTATGTAACGTAATAGATGGTCTAAATGAATGCTGTAAGTTTTATTATCTTATCTGTCTTGTACAGATCGAGGGGCTCAAATCATTGTGTGTGTTTGATCGCTGTAAGCTAATGCTGAGAGTCATGTTAATGCAAGTGTGTGTGGCCTTGTGGCATAGTGTGTCTTACACAGTCCTCTGTCATGGGCTTATTAAAGCTGACTCTATTTTCCTCCCCTCTCTCTGTCTCTCTCTTTTCTCTTCTTTCTCTCTTGCACTTTTTGCTTTATTTCACGCTGTTTTGTTTTGATTGTTAGGTTGTTTTCATTTTAATCTGAATAATTAAATATGAGATTTTTTCGTTTTTGTTTTGATTTATTTTTGTGTTGCACTCAATCTAATAAGATGGACGTCCACTAACTGTGATTGCTCCCCTAGTACACCTCTACACAGGAAATAAAGTTTGGGATATCCTGTTTAGAGCCAAGTGGCTGCAGTGTGTCTCTTTTTATGATTGTGGTTCTGAATAAGCACAGACACACATACTCACGTCCAGCAGACAGAAGGTGTCATCTTTAATGGTGTTGTGGAAACTACTTTGAAACTGCCACGCCGCATAATTTAAAGGGATAGTTCACCCAAAAATGTAAATTCTGTCATTAATTACTCACCCTCATGTCGTTCCAAACCCATAAGACCTTTGTTCATCTTTGGAACACAAATTGAGATATATTTGATGGAATCTGAAAGCTCTCTGACCCTCCATAGACAGCAAGGATATTACCACGATCAACGCACAGAAACGTAGCAAGGACATCGGTAAAATAGTCCACGTGACATCAGGGGTTCAACCGTAATTTTCCGAAGCTACGAGAATACTTTTTGTGCACAAAGAAAACAGTAATAACATGATTTATTCAACAATTCTTTTCCCAGTTACCGTCTTCCGCCATTTTGGGGAGTACCCCAGAGAGTAATCAAAGTAATCAGCGTTATTTACGTTCAGTAGACCGTGCATGCATGCTGAACGTAAACAACGCTGATTACGTTGATTATTTTGTTATTTATTATTACCTTGTTATTATTGTTTTCTTTGCGCACAAAAAGTATTCTTGTAGCTTCGTAAAATGACAGTTGAACCCCTGATGTCACATGGACTACTATACCTTGCTACGTTTCTGTGCGTTGATCGTGGTAATATCCTTGCTCTCTATGGAGGCTCAGAGAGCTGTCAAATTCCATCAAAAATATCTTAATCTGTGTTCCTAAAATGAACGAAGGGCTTATGGGTTTGGAACGACATGAGGGTGAGTAATTAATGACAGAATTTACATTTTTGGGTGA